ATTAGCAGTGAAGCCGAATTCAACGCGTGTGTACGATGAATATTGCATAACAGCAATTTGTGTATTCTTTGGTCCAATTTCAATCATATCAACAATCCTGAAAATTCACGCTTGAGGCTACTGTAGACGAAATCACTCGCTAGTGGTTCTCGCACTTTCAGCTTTCTCGAAAGCCGAGATAAAAAGCAGATCGGCTGCAGTGACAAAGCATTTTGGTGGAAGTGAGAAATAAATTTACTTGGTATGCAAAAGCTTCCCTCTTCTTCTGCATATTTATTACCTAAATTCATTTCATTTCCAAAAATGTTTCGATTTTCGACGCAGTTTCGGTACTTCCTTTTTGGACCAGCCTGGTTACATTCCGCGTCTCTCGCTTTGGCTTTACCTCCTTTGATAGCTCTTTTTATTGCTAAACTTAACAATTTTCAGCTAAATTCATGGTATTTTCCCACCGCATCCTGGCAATTTTGTTCCTGCGGTCCTGCGCTTCACATCAAACTTTACGAGCATTTCTAAAATTGCAGTGTTTTGAAAGCCAGGAATTGAGAGTGCAAAAACAAACTTATTGAGCATGGCCATTTGCGTCGCAAATGTACTTCCACTTACGCTCCCGGAGCCATCCAGTATAAAGAGCAAGTCCAGTTGGCGATCCAGTGGCCGACATACTGAAGCATTAAAAACTCTTGTTAAAGCGGTCCAGTTAAATATTATGATATTTTATATGAGCACCGCCTATGGAGACTTGCTTCAAAATAAATTTTTCTAATAGCATGGAAAAAGACTGAATAAAGCAAAATCTGCATCTTAATTTGATAATTCTGAATCGATGAAAATCGGTATTTTTGGTGGTGCGATTTTCACCTGACAATTCTTCAATTTGATTTTCCATCTAATATACTTTCAAGTCTACCGCTGCATATTTATTATTTGTATGAAGTTTTTTAACAAATAATTTTGGCAGTTTGATATATTTAATACCAGTTCAGTGATGTCTAAATTTTCAGTGGATCTGAACCTACTTTGAATATCTAAAATATCAAAACCGTCCGGACAGCGGCTGTGGGTATCTCACTTCAGCGATATTACTGGGATAGCTTCATCATTCCGGACGCAGCTGTGCAGTCTTCATTCCTACCTCCTATATGTACCTACTGCTTATCCGATGTACGTACACATCATTTAGATATATGATAAAAAATTCCAAAGCAACCAAATGCCCAATAGAGAAAATGTTATAACAATCTCCAACTAACGATTTAAATCAATTATCAATTTTTCCACTAAGCAGTTTTGTTCTAAAAATTTTCATCAAATCAGCATCAAATGTTCAGTAAAACTAATACTAATAATTTGTGATATTGCTAGCTTGGTCAGAGAAACCTCTCACACAGCTTGTCAAATGCTTTTAGACGTGAAACCCAGGTTGGAACGCACCGGGCGGGCCCGTGCGACCATGCGTTTTTGCACCGAACTTGAATTACTCACTTCATTAATTGTATGAATGGCTGCTTCACACCTACCTTTTGCAGTCACTAGCATAAATCACCATAAATTTTACAAAGTAAATGTCCAGTTTTCACTTAACAGCCGTTCTTTAAAAGTAACCCAGTTGTTCAGTGAGAAATTTTTTTGTCAAGATTTATAAGTGCCCTTACGTAGGAACCACGCATACCTCAAGGCTGCATTCGAAATACTTAAGTTGTATTTGGACAGGGAACATTCCCTTAAAATTTCAGCTTTCCAGCCTTTCTGGTTACCGAGTTAGCAATTTTCCCGCCAAAACCTTCACATACCCGTACTTGGGTACTCCACGTGCTTGGAAAGCTAAATTTGAAATCTTTAAATTACATGTGGACAGGGAACGTTCGCCTAAAATTTCAGCCTTCCGGCTCTTCTGGTTGTCGAATTAGTAATTTTTCTGCAGAAACTTTCATACGCCCTTACGTGAGTACCACGCATGGCTTGGGACTGAATTTGAAATATTTGAGTTGTTCTTCGATATAAAACCATTCCTCAAAATTTCAGCTTTCTAGCTTTCCTAATACCCGAGATGGCGTTTTTCTTCTAAAACTTCTATACGCCCTTGCTTAAGTACCATGCATAGCTTGGGGCTGAATTCGGAATATTTGAGTTGTATTTGGATAGGGAACATTCTTTCAAAACTTCAGCTTTTTAGCCTTCCTGGTACCCGAGTTAGCAATTTCCCCCCTAAAACTTCCATACGCCCTTACGCGAGTACCACGCATACCTGGGGGCTGAATTTGAAATTTTTAGCTAGTACATGTACAAGGGATATCCCCAAAAAGTTTCAGCCCCTTAGCTCACGTGGTTCCCAGGATCTCTTTCCCGCCAGAAAATTTGCATGTTTTTTTAAAGCGTCCGTACGCGGCACTCAGGCGGCCGAGGGGGATGAAATTAAAACGGGAAGGTCGCGAATGGCATGGGCACATACTCCCAAAGTTTCAGCCTTCTAGCTTTTCTGGTTCTCGAGTTGAAAGTGGGTGACAAAAAGTGCAAACACCAGACACACAGACACACGCGCACACACACAGGCTACCTCTACCCAATATGCGTTTTTGCAATTCGCATATATGCAAAAATGCATAAAAACTGAAATAAAACACTTCTGTAATTCATTCTCAGTGAAAGGCGGGGACATTTGGAAGCGTCTCGAGTAGCTGCATTTGCTAACCAGTAATCGTGCATCGGCAAACTAGTAGCTGGGGCATTTTTCGAGAATTGGCAATGTATCTTGTAAGACTGTTGGAAAAGTAAACATTCTAATGTATCAGTAAATTTATAGCCGGTATTTCATCCCTTAGCTGTAAACACAGACAGAGCACGTGATGCGAATAGGAGTGGGAATCGTCAGTGCAGCTTCCTAGCAGCAATATATGAAAAAGACAGACTAAATGAGCATATCAAGGAGAATAAAAGATGAGGAAAGACGGCTGAAGGGAATAAAATTATAGAGGGAAGGGGTGAGTGTGGAAAAAAGCGAAAGGAAATAATAACATGAATAAATTGAATTGCTGATCAGTTCTTAGTGTTAAAAAAAAGATAATCTCCCTATAATTCTATTCTGTAGACCATAGAGGCTTCGATTCCTTCATGTGTGTCGGTTCTGGGTTACTTCACAAACGAATGGACGAATAGCTGAGCAATGGGTTGTCTCACTTAACAGATTGTGAGCGGTATAAACTGAATTCACAAATTTTAAATGACAAAATTACCTTTCGCCAAATCGTTATCTTCATAATCAATTGCTACCACTATCACTGTTTTCAGAGAAAGCAAGACTGATAAGAAGACTTCGAAGATTAGCTTTACTGCCATAATTCTGTTCAAGGTAGCAGCAGCCTGTAAATTTACAAATACGGTGCGACCTTGCCTCCTCGCCACGTAGCTTTTCACCATTAGCGCTAAATCGCACCCAAATTAATTTAATCTGAGGCTCTTACAATACATCGCAACATCCTCTTGTCTAGCAATGAGAAAAATTGAAAAAGAGCAGAAACTGAGCTTGGCCAGCCGTTGCTGAGCGATTCATTCGGC